ACGGCAAGGGGACAGCCATCTTTGAGTTTAAAAAAATATAAACTAAATACATGTATTATATTATAGCAAATGACTATTTCTTAAAAAAAAAAATGGGTGAAACTCGATCCATCCCACCCCAACCCCCATCCGTTAGAGTACGTACGTGCTACGAAATATGCGATTTTTCTAAATATCGACCTTTTCCTTACTAACTCGTGTGAGTTCCATTTACATTACATGTACATGTGTGTAGTTGTTCCTTTGAAGACATTATATATATAGACAAATACAATTTCAGAGAAAGAGAGAGAGACAGAGAGAATAAAAACACAGTTACTAAAATAGCGATTTGGTTTGAGTCGTTTTGAATACATTATTATAATGCTTTAAACTTATTGATTTACTTTTTCAGTAATTCTCAAGTGTTGATTTTCTCAGTTAAATTAGTATAGCATAAAGTGACCGAGCATTTTTTTTTTTGGTGTGTGTGTGTTTTTCTTTAATTCGGGGTGGGGGGTGTTAAATCTGAATTTATTAAATAATTAACTGTTTATGTTTTTATTTTAGCTGCAATAATGTAGCCCTCTCCGATATTTTTTATCTGATATTTTTTGGAGAGGATCCCCCCCCCCCAAAGGGAGGGGGCTACATTATTGCAGCTAGTTTTATTAAACCACCAATCCTTTTTAATTATTTTACCATGAATATTTTTTAAGATACAAAATACGAAAAAAAGGTGGAATTTTGTGAAGTCTCTTTCAAATTTTACTAGGGTGAGTTTACGTACATGTATGTTTAAAATATTTATTTTAAATCATAATACGATCGGTATATTTATTTAAAATTTTGATAACGCCCGATATTCGGACACTCGGAATGGGATTGAGCCGTGAAGAACCGGGTCTAAAAAATTAATACACTGTATATTTTTTGTTTCCTATTAAAAGATCGCAAGTGGACTGGTGTAACTGAAAAATATATTAAAAGATAAATGGGCTTCGTTCAAATATTGCAAGTTGATAATAATAAATCAACAGGAAGGATTAATTGCCAAAAATTAAGGCGATATATACTAGTATATGAATCTTTAACTTTAGTGATCTAATGGAGGGCGATTTTCATAATTTGTGGTTGATCTATGCTTGAGTAGACCATCCATCAAAAAATGCAGTTTTTGTTTAATCTTGTATCAAAAGAAGCATGGAATCGGATACAAAGCTTACGGACTGCAGGTAACGTGGGATCTTAAGTTTTAAAAACTATGTACGATTCATATGAGGCGAGTTGGGGGGGGGGGGTTCCTTCATTTTGAAATGTTCCATTTGAGTTATTAAATATCTATATGTAAAAGTAACGAAAAACCAACCTTAGGAAATATAGAGCCCACTTAAAAAGTATGAGGAGAGAGTCGTGTATTTGAAAAAAATGTAGCCTACAACTGAGACAGATATTTTGATCACATGCTAAGTAATGTAATAATCTAGACAATTGAGTATATCAGTAAGTCATGATCATGAGTATATTTGAGAGATTCACTTCACCGGGATAGGGATATGTCATGGGGGTATACATGTAAATCACATTGATATTGCAGCTTCAAAAGAGTTGTATCAGTCGGTGTCTGATCTCTTGTCCCTGCAGCTTGAAACATGTCACAATGGTCAGGTGTGAATACATCTCTGTATGCTGGAGGGTAATGCACCACCAGTTGGATGTAAACACCTAAGTAAGATTTATAAAATTATATAGTTGTAAAACTCAGATTTCTTTTAGTGGAATGAGAATACTGTAAAATTAATGTATTATATTTAGCGTGCACGATATTTGGCGGAAATTGATTTTCGAACAAGTTAACGTAGATTTATTTTAGTGCATTTCTTATTTAGTATATATGTGCAAGACATTTAATTATCGATAAACCGCCGCCTTTTGTAATTTAGAAATCATGGCGGTATAACGAATTTGGCGATTAATTGAATTTCCCACCTTTGGGGAAACAAGAAATAGAGTTACCGTTCTTGGAAATAAAACATTTAGCGTTTATATTCTTAGTATTATATAAAAACACATTTCAAAATTTGAAAATGCCTCACATAGTTTTTTACGTACACTAATTTCGTTTTAAAACAAAATACACATTTATAAAATAAATACATGAACACAGGTACATTCATGTAAATCTGAACGTCTGATATTTTAAAGAAAACATGCTGATCTTAGTAATCTATTGCCGAAAGATTGCCGATATATTGAATTCCTGTAAATACATTAATAGTTTATGGCATTATCGTTGCTAAAACTTTCGCAATTAATATACTGTATCACTATTTTTAAACAAACTTTGCATTGTTTGAAGTAGGGCTCGTCGAACTAATATTGTCGGCGAACTCAAGTTTAACAACAGCCGCTTTCGAGCCATAATTAAATCATTTTTTAATGAACAGAAAAGAAAATTATAATTACGTATATACAGTTGACGATAAAAATTATTAATATTTAATTCTTTAATTACGTGTAACTTACGGTGATCTGGACAGTGACAACCAATTAGTCGCTTCACTGACCACATGCACCTGTGGCGGTATGTCGAGATAATTGACACGTTGAAATGGACGTTTGTTGTGAAAACAGGGTGGCGGATGGCGGTATGCGAATTTGGTGTTATAAAGAGAATTTTATATAGCAGGAAAAACGTTCTTGGGAAATCATGGCGGTATTGCGAGAATGGCGATAAATCGAATGGCAATAATTCGAGAATTGACTGTACTTGAATTTGCGAAAGCTTCTTTCCGCAAAAGGCGCTAAAAATATAAACAGCCATATGTAATACGTTTACAGTAATTAAATCATAATATTTTACATAAATGGTATCACTGGAGTTCAACTCACCTGAATCTTGACTTAAACACACCAAATGCTCTCTCCACCACAACACGGGCTCTGCAATGTGAAGTGTTGGAGTTGTCCTCCTGTTGGTTTCTAGCGTTGCTTACTGGAGTCACGGGGTGTAACTTCAAAGGATAACCTAAGACGCAGGAGTAATTCATAAAGACTAAGGTAAATAGATGGGTTAATCTGTGCACAAATGCAATTTCAAGTATTGTGTATTTGTACCTGAATCTTTTAAAAGCCAGCCAGCCAGCCACAGCAACTTTGACCCAAGATGACATTCAAATTTGAGTTTTCAAAGACAAAGTTGTCGTGATCAGCCCAAGGCCTCTTGCATACCAAAGCAGTGAATTTGCAAAATTATAAAGATCGCTGTCACAGCAAATCATATTCTTTAAAAATCGAAAACTTTAAATTGTGGTGTATTGAGAAAAATACTCTCTCTTTCTTTCTCTCTCCCTCTCCGGTTATTTTATATTTAGACTATTTATCTGCATAGATCTGCAACAGCCTGTACATTTAAGGCTTGAAATTCATTGCAGCAGACGTAGTTACCTTCATTCCCTGATGGGGCTTGGATTTTTTATCAGGTTGCAATTTATTGCCCCCATAACATTAGGAAATCCTGCCTTTCCAAAAAAAAAATGTTTTTGTCCGTCTGATTTCTTCGTTACTTGATGGAAACTTGATATTCTAAAGGTGATGACAAAAGAATGTAAAACTTTGTCCATCGTAACACATACATTTGACCTTGAAATTCCATGTACATGTAAGTCGCCTTACAGCCTTGTAAGGCGCCTTACAGTGGCCAAAACCTGTTAATAATTGGATTTCATATTTGTAACCAAATCATATACTGTACACAATTATATAGTGTACAATTATATAGTGTACAAGTAGTCAAACTGGTATAAAGGCATTTTTTAATGCAATAATGTTTAGTTTACTAGTCATATTTGTACAAATTATGGTCCTGGGGCTATGGTGGGTTCACTATAATGAAATTGTCCTCACACTTTCCCTTATTAATAAAAACATGTTTGTTAAGGGCAGTTATAGGCTAAATCTGCTGTCCATTCCATGGCATATCTGTATTTAAAATAGTAATGGAGAAGAAACATGTATAAAATTCAATGTTTTCTTTAAAATTTTTCTCTAAAGATCAGTAATCATACGTGTTTGCCTCAGTATGCTTTAAAAAAATGATTTTTTTTTAATTTATGTAGTTACAAGGCATGCTTAGGTGAGCTAGGTTGAAAATGAGCTTCTTATTTTGATGGATATATGTAATTTTGATGGGTTGAAAAGCTATTTTTAGGCGACACTGAAGATATTAAATGATTAATATATTTATGAATAAGTCTGTATATCTAAAAGGAAAATATTTCCAGATTGGTTCTTTTTAACGACAAATGTGGTGTAATGAATGACTATTGAAATGAAATGCTGTCAATAATAAAGGAACGTACTTGTATTTCTGCTGGAACAGATTGGCTTCTTCTTCATCCTCCCGCACTATATCAACGATGAAGAGGTATTGCCTCGGCAACCGCGGTACCTCTCGATTATCTCAGCATCGGACAAATGGTCCATTGGATTGTTTCCGTCTCGAAACACCTTCTAACCTCTCTTTTTGTGCATTTTATCAATCGATTCAAGAATAAAAAAAAAGACAGCCATGATGAATAATTTTATTTACCATGGTAACAGCGATTTATAGAACAACTTTTAGACCAAACTTATGACTTGCAACAGCCTCCGAGTCGTAAGCACGACCTATGACCGAATTATGTAGTAACTCGCAAGTCCCAAATCTTTGTAAAACGGTCGTATATCGTAAGTTCGGTCGTACGACAGTTTCCATTTACGACCTTTTGTAAAACCGGCCCTTGAACTTTTCAAATGCCCCCTCGTTATTTACGTTAAGCTATGATAATATTAATTTTATCTCTTAATGGCTTTTCGTTTTTTATTTAGTTTTGAAAATTTCTGTTTATAAAGTTAATCTTTTGTAAAGTACTGTATCAGAGAATAATTATAAGATGATGAATAAAATTCGTCATTATAGTTGATGAACCTTTTTCCAGAGTCTATAATTTTTTTTTATACTTACTATAAATAATACTTACCGTGTCCAAGGTTTGAGAGGAGTTACTTTGTATGATATTCAAATCATTCTAAACATGAAACAAGAAACTGTGTACTTCTCATATTATTATTCAAATAAATGTTCTATCTGATTCGGAACATTATTGTCTATCTTGAAACTTTAAAACAATTACCAGTAAATCTTCTTCAACTTTTGAAGCTAACTCGGACGACGACGAAAACCTTTGGACATCGCCACCTGTGGTTTGTGCAATACGATCATACACAGAAGACTGACGCTTATATCGTTCTAAATGATATAAAGGGAAGAGTTACATTTACATACATTTTAAATTAAGTAATACTTGTATAAAACATATTACAATTCCTCTCTAATACCATTTTAGTAATAATTAATACATCAAATCAATGTACATGTATGCACACTCTGTATACTCAAACCTATTGCGCGTTTTCGTCGACGTCCACATTCATTAGTCAGACGAAATTTTGCTGTAATATTCTTTTCTAGTAGAATTCTTATAGCCTCCGCTTCCTTTTCAGGGTCTTTAGCAGGAGCATCCGTATAAATGTAAACAGGTGAGTTGTGGTTAGACAGAGTTGCCCCTGCAAAGACCAATCAAGGATGATTTTAGAAATATCGTTTAAACATTAAAGCATTAATTAAAATAAAGCATACATTTGCTGTAGTTGTTGGCCTTGTATTTGAAATAAACTACTACTAACAATAAAACTTATACGAGGGTTGTCCATAAAGTTCGTGAACAGTGACTTTTATGTCAAAATAATTTAATTCTAGTTGTAACGCTTTATTTTATTGGACAAAAAATTTACTTTATTTTGTATAAAATGGGTTGCCTACGTCACAATGACTTGCGTCAAAAACGTATCGATCCGCCTGACGTTACATTCAAATTTTGCACAAATTGAAGTCATTTTTTAAGGACAATCATCTTTTTTTTCTTACATCAAATGAATGAAAATTAAATTATAAGGAATGAATTTAATAGCTACCCAATTTATACGGTATAAACTGGGTTGGAACAGTTTACGCTTTTTTATAAACCGCTTCGCGGTTTATAAAGCGTAAACTGCCCCAACCCAGTTTATATCGTATAAAATGGGTAGCTATTAAATTCATTCCTTAAATGAATGGTCCTTATATTCTTGTATACAAAAATATTTTATCCAAGACAGAATAGTTTGATTTTAATTGTTTGAACTTCATATTTTTTGTAAAAATTTACGGTCTTCAAAAGTTGCAGATAGTGTGCACGACCCAGGGTTAAAATGCCATAAACTTTGAAATAAACTGTTCTAATTAAAATGATTATTTTCTTTAAAAAGCAAGTCAAGACTTAAAAATTAGATATGTCGCAAATGAAGCGGTTATCGTCGCTGTGTGATATCTTTAGTATCGCTTACTATTCAGATAGTGAAAATATTGGGAAAAAACCGCAAGAACTATGTTTCAAAAAATGACAGAAAAAGCGGTTTGACCATCCGAACAGAAAACGGCGTCAAATCATGAAATCATGTTTTAATATGGTTAAAACGACGTCAGAGATAAAATATTTATTCAAACTTGAAATTATTGTAATAAATTTAGTTCGTTGATATGAAATTGGTATATACGATTTTTCAACAATGTGTACAATTTTGTAGAAACTACAAGAAGTGGAAAACCAGAAACTACAAGAAGTGGAAAACCACTGTTGTTTGATGAAAATAGGATATCCTTATTCATGACATTGTTATAATTCTAGCGCAACGTCAGACTGGGCGGCGCAGCGTGGGTATACGAAGTGTATATAATGAAATGCTCGTAAATTAATAGTATCGTGTATCGATTTGAATTTTAAAAATTAAATCCATTATGATATATACATAAATATTATTGCACACACTGAACAACATAGAATAAATATTCAAAATCCATAATTTTGACGTTATCATGAAATTAGCTTTACTTCAGACTGGGCCGTGCGGCTGGCATATACAAAATATTGACACCATTACTTTTATAAATTATTTGTATTGTTTTAATTTTTATATATTTACTAAATCATCATGGTCCATATTAAAATACAATATCATAAACGTTTTCCAGTGCGGTCATTATTAAGAAAAAAATATAGCATTTGTCCACGAACTGTCATCTTAGTATAATAAAACACTGTAAAGGATCCGTAGAAGTATAAAATAAAACAAAATAAACTCATAAATGAAGCTATTCGCCCAAAGGCAAGAGAAATAGCATGATCTGGGATCAACAAAATAATAAGTCTAGTACTCTGTAACAAATCTTAAAGTAGATCTATTTACTTGTCTGTGCTTGCCCCATTTGACACTATAGCGCTTATCCAGGTAAAACAAACAAAACATTTGTGCTAGAGCATTATTAATAAACCCATCTCATTCCCTCTCACATTGGCCTCTTTTGGAATAATATTTATTGTATAAAGATAAGGTATTTTTGTCTCATTTTTATCTCTTATTTACAAGTCTACCTGACAATTAAAAACACTGAAAATACTTTTTGTATTTTGTATATTTTGAAAATTTTTGCAAAAATATATTATTCAATTGACATTTCAATTACATAATTATAACCGGTCACGATAGCCTAGTGGTAGAGCCTCGTGATCGGAAGGCTCGGGTTCGATTCTCGTTCGCCGCGTCAAGCCTAAGACGTCAACATAGGAAGTGACTGTTCCTTCGCCAAGCGCTCGGCACAAGAGGTGAAAGTCATGGGTCTTTCGGATAAGACCTTAAAAACCGAGGTCCCTTATCACGGTAGGCGTTGGCGTGATGAAGGACCCTCACTGCTCAATAACCCTGAGCGCCGAGCATAGGTATAAATTTTAAGCCATTCAGCGGCATACGGTGACGTCTCTGAATGAGTGAAAAATTCTCGAATGGGACGTTAAACAACATACAATCAATCAATTACCTAATTATAGATGAAAAGCAAAGGGGAATAACTTCTGTCAGCAGAATACATATTTTAAACAAGAGGCCCAAGGGCCTTAACGGTCACCTGAGTATAATACAACAATTTAGAAGTTAAATACACTGATAGTTGAAGCTTTGTTGCCCTAAAGCAAGAGAAGTAGGAAGATCAGGATCAACAAAATAATTAGTCTAGTATTCAGTATCAACTCATAAATTAAGTTCTAATCTGTCCCCCACTTAACACTATGCAGACTATTAACAAACTATTAGTGCTTCTGTACTATTTTTAAACCCATATTAAGACCTCTAGCATTGACCTCTCTTATGGTCTTTGAAGAACTTTTAATAAGATAAGTTATTTTTGTCTCATTTTTATTTATCTATTACTTACTGGTCTACCTGTTTATTAAAACTAAGAAAGTACTTTTTTAATTATACGATAAACATTCTTGCATAATTATCTTATTCTATTAACCTTTCAAATACATTATTTACAGTGATTTATTATCAAAGGTGAATGGAAAAGGGGAATAACTTCTCTCAGTAGAATACAAATTAATAGAGCCCTGCCCAGGACCAGAATGCTTAGACCAATGGTCCAGATGTTTAAAAATCTGGTAGAAATACGCTTACTCATATCATTTAAACTTTTACTCAGTTTGCTTCCAATATGCCCAGAAGCAGAGAAGAATTTCACAGGTACAATGCATTTTCACTATAGATTCAACAAAGCCTTACCCTAACACCAGAACCCAAGACCAAGGGTCAAGAAATTTACAAATTTGGAAGAGTTACCCTCATCATCATAACTATGGACTTCAAAGAATTAACACTTTTCCATTATATTATCAAAAGCCCCCCCCCCCTCGTTATGCCAGAACCCCTGACCCTAGGACCACAAGATTTAAAAATTCTGTTCGCAGCTCCCATTTTCATCATAGCTAAGCAATTTATTTATCAGCTCAACACTAAGGAGCAGACAGGATTAATTAATGATTAATAGAATTAATGCTTTTTCACTATATAATCAATAGAGCCCCCCCCCCCTTCATCAAGAACCCCAAAAACTGAGGCCATATTTTTAAAAATTTTGGAAGAGGCATCCTTGTCTATCATAATCATGCACTTAGTTTGTTTATATAATCTCCAGTAGCAGAGAAGAAGATTTTCAAAGAATCAATGCATTTTCACTATATAATCTATAGAACCCCTGACCCTGGGGCCATGAAATTCACAATTCTTGAAAAGGCATTCTTATGCATCATAACCATGCACTTAGTTTGTTTAAATAATCTCCAGTAGCAGAGAAGAAGATTTTCAAAGAATCAATGCATTTTCACTATATAATCAATAGAGCCCCGCCCTAACACCAGAACCCCTGACCCTGGGGCCAAAAATTCACAATTTTTGAAAAGGCATCCTTATGCATCATAACCATGTACTTAGTTTGTTTAAAATACCCAGGAGCAGAGAAGAAGATTTTCAAAGAATTAAAGCATTTTCACTATATAATCAATAGAGCCCCGCCCTAACACCAGAACCCCTGACCCTGGGGCCATGAATTTCACAATTTTGGAAGAGGCACTCTTGCTCATCATAACTATGTACTTAGTAACTTTATTTAATACCCAGGAGCAGAGAAGAAGATTTTCAAAGAAATATTGCACTTTCACTATATGATCTATATAGCCCCACCCTGGGGCCAGAACCCCTGACCCTGGGACCATGAATTTCACAATTTTGGTAGAGGGCTCCATGCTTATTACAAAGATGCCAACAGTTTGACTGCTTGATGTCCAGGAGTAAAGAAGAAGATTTTTAAAGATTGCATTATTTTTGGTGGTTTTAGCCCCACCCCTCAGGCCCCAGGGGGGCAGGGACCATGAAATTAACAATTTATGTTCCCCTTCACCCATAGATGCTATATACCAAATTTGGTTGAAATTGGTTGAGCGGTTCTAGAGAAGAAGTTAAAAATGTTCAAAAGTTAACGCACGACGGACGACGACGGACGAAAACAGATAGCAATAGGTCACCTGAATGACTCAGGTGACCTAAAAAATAAAGCCCTGTCCAGCACCAGAACACTTGTTGAAGTGGTCCAGAATTTCACAAATCTGATAAAATACCCTTGATTATTACATATTTGTACTCAGTTTGCCTCCTAGATGCCCAGGAGCGGCAATAAGAATTTCAAAGAAATAATGCATCTTTCACTATACATTCAACACAGCCTCGGCTTATCACTGGAATCTCTAACCCAGGGGCCACGAAAGTTTTAGGAGAAACATCCTTGCTCATCATAACTATGTATTTAGTTTATCTGCTAAATAGGCAAGAGCGAGGAAGATTTTCAAAGAATAAATGCATTTTCACTAAATAGAATCCATAAAGCCTTGTCCTAACACCACAAGTCCTGACCCAGGGGCCATGAGATTCACAATTTTGGAAGAGACACCATTGCTCATTATTTTATAACTTTGCACTTAGTTTGTTTGCTTAATACCTAGGACGAGGGTAGACTTTCCCTAAGAAATATTGCATTTTGACTTTATTCAACAGAGCCCCGCAATTGCACCACAGCCTCTGAGTCAGGGGCTTTGAATGTTATAATTTTGGATGAGACACCTTTGCTCATTAAAACAATGCGA